TGGGATTACAGGCACACGCCACCATGCCCAGCTAATTTTTTGTATTTTTAGTAGAGACGGGGTTTCACCATGTTGACAAGGATGGTCTCGATCTCTTGACCTCATGATCCACCTGCCTCGGCCTCCCAAAGTGCTGGGATTACAGGTGTGAGCCACTGCGCCCGGTCTGCCCTGCCTTCTTAAAGCATGCCCACCAACGTGCCACCCCTTATCTGGCCCACGCTGGCACCTGGAGGGTGTTGGGTCAAGCGCCTCAGCAAATTCCAGCCTGTGCTGTTTGCTCTGGCTGCGCCCCTCCTTCTGGCTCTCCAAGGCTATTTCATCCCAAATTCTCAGAGAGAACCCTGGACCTTCTGGAGACTGCAGACTACACTTTAACAAAAGAGACACTCGGCGATGATGAGAATGGCGAGGATGATGAGGATGACGATGATATAATAGCTCACATTTACACAACACACGTTACATGGCAGGAAGCTGTTCCCAGAGTTGCATAACTTAACCCATCCCATCCTCCCCACTATTTTTAGCTCCATCTTACAGATGGGGTCAACTGAGGTACACACTGGCTATGTTACTTGCCCAAGTCGCATTGCTGGGATCTGAAGCCAGGCCACCTGGCTCCAGAACCTGGGTTCTCAATCACTGTTAGGGATGAGCCACATTGTCCAATGACATTGTTCCAGACCCATCCCGACCCCCACCCCTTCCTGCAGGAAGATCTTCCATTTGGGTCCAATAAATGCTTCCCCAATGCTGCTTCATGCCAGGTCCTGCATGAGGCACTGTGGACGGGTGGCAACAGAACAGATAAAACCTCTCTCCCAGTAGAGCCACACTCTCCCTGCCTCTCCAGGCACTCAGGCCCATGCAGGTTTTATTAAGATGTTTCTAGGATCCCTGAAAATACGTACCCATCTTCCCCACCTAGGCTGTGAAGCTGGGGAAATAAAACCAAAAAATCAAGACAGCAGGGACAGGTGGGCGTGGAGGCTCACACCTGTAATCTGAGTACTGTGGGAGACCGAGGTGGGCGGATCACTTGAGGTCAGGAGTTTGAGACCAGCCTGGCCAACATGGTGAAATCTATCTGTACTAAAAATACAAAAATTAGCTGGGTGTGGTGGTGGACACCTGTAATCCCAGCTACTCGGGAGGCTAAGGCTGGAGAATCACTCGAACCAGGAGGCAGAAGTTGCAGTGAGCTGAGATCACGCCACTGCACTCCAGCCTAGGTGACAGAGAGAGAGTAAGACTCTGTCTCAAAAAAAAAAAAAAAAAAAAAAAGAGAGACAGCAGAGATGAAAACACAACACTTTTGGAGTCAAACAGGCCAGGGTCTGAGTCCCAGCTCTGCCACTTGTTAGCTGTGTGACCTTAGGCAAGTCATTCTGCCTCTCTGTGCCTTAGTGTCTTCATCTGTTAAATGAGAATAATCAGAATATGAGTACTATGAATTTAATATTTAAGTTTTAGGGTAGGGATATGGTCACCTTACTCTTTCTGCTGCTTTTGCCCATGAGGGAAGGAAACTGACATTTATTGAGCACCTACAGCATGCAATATCAGGCACTAGGGGCTTTCTGTGTGGTCCTCATTCAATCCTGAGAAACGAGTCCTCCACTATGGCACCTGGGGATGCAGTGGTGATTAAACCAAATCTCTGTTCCCCAGGGGACCCCACTGTCCACTGTCGTCTCTCAGGACCCAGGAATAAAATTTATCCCCAATCATTAGACAAGGAAACTGGGGCTCAGAGAGGTTCATGTAACGTCACTGAAACCAGACGTCTAGGGAATAGAGGAGGAGAGGTTCAAACTCCATCAAGAGCCAATATCTCTTGATGTTGCTGGCATATAGCAGGCACCAACAGCGGCTCCATGAAGACCACAGTGGCAATGAGGCCCTATACGTACATCCATAGAAGGCTCTGGAGAGGATCTGGTACTTCATATTGTCACAGAGAAGTTTCAGGGGAGCCCTGCAGGTGGAGAAAGAGGGAGATGCTTAGAATAGATCTAAATACAGCCCAGATTTTCTGGAGAAGAGCACCGTGCGTTATCTCTAGAGGACAGATTCAAATCAGCCATTCAGGGGAACTGTAGGGAGGGCTGCTATCACCTCTACCTGTGCAGTATCATTGCCCCTTCTGCTCCCAGCACCCCGGTTTTCCCTTGAGAAATCACACTCTCCACAACTCTCTGCCTGTGTGGTTTGTATGGGGATGACTGCCCACGACAGAACCCAGGTTGGAGTCATAGTGATTGGGGCAGAGATTACCCAACCTGAGCCAATGAGAATCAGCCGTGGGACTTTTGCTGCAATGACTAGGAATTCCACTTTTCTGCTTGGGTTTCTAAGCCTGTGGGATATAAGGCAGTGGCTGCTGGGAGTCATCTTTGCCAATGCATAGGAAGGGCCTGCCTGAGGATGGAACCATCACAGAGACAAGCAGAGCCAAGAGCTGAAGAAACAGAGATTTCTGTTTCAACATCTGTATCCAGCCACGCCTGCAGCCACTGTGCCTCTGGACGTCTCAGTGATGCCAACAAATTTTTTTTTTCACCTGATCCAGTTTGAAGTCGGTTTCTATCACTTGCAGAAAGAGTTCTGATTTCCAAAGTGACCCAGCTGAACCAAGCTGAGCCAAATTGGGATTCAGAGTCTGGCTGACTGCCAGGTAGGTGATGTCTCAAAGCTTCTCCTTACATGGGAATTTTGGGGAACTTTTTTGGCTGAAAGAGGTGAGAGGAGTCAGATTCTAGCATTGGTGGAGAAATCCAGGACTGTTGAAGGGAATGCTATACACTCTCCTAAAGGATAGAATGAAAGAATATCTGCGTATTTTTTCTCAGGACATCCCAAGAGACATCCAGAAAAACAGGCAGACTGGGGCAGGGCAGGAGGAGCACAGCTGAAGTCCTCCAGTCAGGCGCATTAAACAGTAAAGAGGGCTGGGCGTGGTGGCTCACGCCTGTAATCCAAGCACTTTGGAGGCCAAGGCAGGTGGATCACCTGAGGTCGGGAGTTCAAGACCAGCCTGACCAACATGGTGAAACCCCCGTCTTTATTAAAACAAACAAACAAACAAACAAACAAAAAAAAACAGTAAAGAGTCCCCCTTTGTGTAGTTAGGCGCATTCAACAGTGAAGAGTCCCCCTTTGTGCCCTCACACTGGTGAGGCTCAGACTTGCTCAGGTTACATGAGAACAGGATCACATCAACAGCTTTCCCACTGTTGACCTGGCTTTCTGCAAGGTAGTGAGCTCTCTATCACTCCATGTGTATAAGCAGATGTTATAACAGGAGAGGGGGCAAAGGGTTATAGCAGCATTTCTCACTGGTCCATGGACCATCAGCCCGAGTCACCTGGAGTTTCTCCAGCATATGGATTCCTGGGCCCTGCACATACCTACTCAGCCAGGACCTCTAGGAAATGGTCCATGAACTGATACGTTTTGCCACTTGGCCCAGGTGATTCTGATGTACAATAAGAAAATCTCGACCAGGCATGGTGGCTTATGCCTATAATCCCAGCACTTTGGGAGGCTGAGGTGGGTGGATCACAAGGTCAGGAGTTTGAGACCAGCCTAGCCAATATGGTGGAAACCCCATTTCTACTAAAAAATACAAAAATTAGCTGGGTGTGGTGGCGCATGCCTGTAATTCCAGCTACTCAGGAGGCTGAGACAGGAGAATCACTGGAACCGGGGAGGCAGAGGTTGCAGCGAGCCAAGATCGTGCCACTGTACTCCAGCCTGGGCAACAGAGCAAGACTCTGTCTCAACAACAAAAGAGAATCTCCAGGCCGGGCGCAGAGGCTCACATCTGTAATACTGGCACTTTGGGAGGACGAGACAGGCAGATCACTTGAGGTCAGGAGTTCAAGACCAGCATGGTCAACATGGTGAAACCCCAGCTCTATTAAAAATACAAAAATTAGCCAGGCATGGTGGCACGTGTCTGTAGTCCCAGCTACTTTGAAGCCTGAGGCTGGAGGATCACTTAAGCCTGGGAGGCAGAGGTTGCAGTGAGCCAAGATCATGCCATTGCACTCCAGCCTGGGCCAACAGAGAGAGAGAGTCTGTCTCCAAAAAAAAAAAGAAAAGAAAAAAAGAAAATCTCAGTAATATCAGCACTTCTCAAACTTTAAAGCGTACACATGGTCTTGAGACCATGTTAAATACAGGTTCTGATTCAGGAGGTTTGGGATGAGAGACTGAGAATCTGCCCAGGTGCTGATGTTGGTTCACAGACCACACCCTGCAGAACCAGGAGTTGGATGGCTTCAAAAATTTGATGCCAGCCCCCATCCCTTATATCTTATGGCTGATGACTGGACCACCCACTGAGACAGAAGCCCAGCAAGGACAAAAGGGTTCCACTCTCTCAGGCCAGGCCAGGTTATACCAGGGGGAAACAAAACCAGTCTCATGAATTGGCTGTATAGTTCCAAAGAGACCAAAGATCTACGGGCAAACAAGAGATGCGCTTGAGATTTAACTTTATACAGCAAGACAGTAAGTGTCATTTACTGAATAGTACCATGTGCAGGTGCCACGTGGCCACGTTAAACCATTACTTGAGCTGGTCCTTACCACAGGCATATAAAGTAAGAACTGGAATTTCCACTGTGTGGAGGAGCAAACTGGGAAGCGGTTGTCATTAAATAGTATTTCTGGGATTATTCTGCCTTCCAGGTGTATGGTAGGGCTGCACTTACAGTCCCCTTGTTAACGGGGCCAGTGGAGTGTGAGTGGATATGACATGTGCTGCTTTTGGGCAGAGCCTTTTTATTGTGGGTTAAAGCCCCTGCAGAGCCACCTTTCCCTGTCGCTGTGACTGGCAACATTCTGGATAGGGAAAATGTGGCACATATACACCATGGAATATTATGCAGCCATCAAAAACGATGAGTTTGGGTCCTTTGTAGGGACATGGATGAACCTGGAAACCATCATTCTCAGCAAACTGACAGAAGAGCAGAAGATCAAACACCGCATGTTCTCACTCATAGGCGGGTGTTGAACAATGAGAACACATGGACACAGGGAGGGGAGCACTACACACTGGGGTCAGTTGGGGGGAAATAGGGGAGGGACAGTGGGGGGTGGGCAGCTGGGGAGAGATAGCAAGGGGAGAAATGCCAGATGTAGGTGATGGGGAGGAAGGCAGCAAATCACACTGCCACGTGTGTTCCTATGCAACAATTTTGCATGTTCTTCACATGTACCCCAAAGCCTAAAATACAATAAAATAAATAAATGGGGAAAAAAAAAAAAGATGGTAGTTGTAAAGTCCAGGCCCTTTACTGTGGAAAAAACAGAGCCACCAGCTGACCCATGATAGAAGCATGGCATGCATGATAAATAAACTTCCGTTGTAAAAAAAAAATGCCACTGAGGTTTTAGCACTGTTTGTTTCTGCACCATAGCCTTGTTTAACCTGACTAGTACATGTAAGCTCCCACAGCTAGGATGTCGCATAGATCTGGCTGACTCCTCTGAATTCAGTGCAGGGTGAGGTATGGGCATCTACAGATCTCTGGTACATGCTTCAGCTCCCTCCATCTGCAGCCCAAGCCCCTCGTACCTCTCATGGTTGCAGCCATTGGTTGAGCTACCATCAGCCGAGCCACTCTGTGAACAGGATGAACAGGAGGACTTCCGGGGACTGGGTTGCCATAGGGACGGGAGATTGCTCACAGAGACATCCATCAGATCCTGGGGGACTGTGGTGGATAGAAGTGGGGGCAGAAGAATCATCCTGGTTAAACCTAAGAGGGTCACAGAGACATCACCCCAGAGCAAGCAGCTCACCCACCCTAGCCAGCACAGAGATAGGAAAAGACCCTGAAGGTGACAGTAGGAAACAGCAGCCCCAATCATCCTTGAGTCTGCCTGATCCGGTGAAAGCCACCACCAAAATTTGGGGCCCCAGCAGAAGGGCAGATCTGATGATAGCCAAAGAGAGAAGAAGAAGACACAGAGAGGCAATAGCCAAGGGGACAGGCCCAAACCCACAGCAGAAGGCCAAGCCTCGCCATGTTGTCACTTAGTCACACTCACAGGATGCTGCAGGAGGGAAGGGGAGCCTGCTGGGTGATTCTGGAGAAGAGACAGGCCTCATGGGTGAGATAGAAGGGAGCTTGACTCAACAGATAAGGTAGGGCATTCTAGGACAAGAGACCCAGTGAAGCCCCGGCTGATGAAGACACCTGCGCTGTCCATGGTTCTGAGGCTAAAGGTGCTCCACTAAGCAGGTCTTAAAACACACTAGCGACTCCCTAAAATCATGTGGGAGGCTTGTTAAAAAGCAATATGCCTGCCCCACACTCCTGGCCTACTCAACTAATCCTGGAGACAGAGCTCTCAACTCTATATTTCTAAAGCAATTTTGATGCAGCAGGTGCATTCGACAGACTCTGATTTCCTAACTTTTGGACGCTGGTGATTCCTGACCAGCCTCTCTCAGGATACAGCACCCACGGCTTCCTTTATTTATTTTTCTTTTTCAGCTGTGTAGAAGCTGCAGTGTCTACAAAACCACATAACAAAAATAATGGGGACATAAGCACTATAATTTTTATAGTCAATTTCCTGGCCTCTCGGTAGTCCTAGACAGGTGCAAAAGCTTTATTTTCTTTAAAACAGGGATCCATTAAGCTTTTCCATAAAGGGACAGCTAGTAAATATTTTAGCATTTGCAAGCCATTTGGTCTCGGTCATAAGCACCAGACTCTGCTTTAGTGCAAAAGTAGCCCTAAACAAAATGTAAAAAAGGAAGCATGCAAACATTGTAATAAAACTTTATTTATAAATACTGAAATGTGAATGTCCTATCATTTTCATGTCACAAAATACTACTCTCCTTTTGGCTTTTTAAGATCATTTAAAATTTGAAAAACCAATCTTAGCTCATAGGCTACTATGAACACAGCTGAATTTAGCCTGCGAATCTTAGTTTTGTAATCCCTGCTGCAGGAAATGAAGAGAGTTGCACACTTTTCCCCCTATATGTCATAGTCCCCACAGGACAACTGGTAATACCCTGACTCTTCCCTTGGGCCCCAAGGTAAGGCAGAGTTGTGGAACGGGCCCTCTTTCCATCAGAGCGCTCAGTAGCTGACAAGGTCAGCCCCTACCCACTGACAGAAGAGGGAGCTGCCTAGACGATGTAGTTCTTGCAATCACCAAATATGGCTTGCTACACTATCCTTCCCCATGTAGTCTCACCCATGAGCTAGCCAAGAAAGTCCAATAAGCCCCTGTAAAATGTTCTAGAAAAATAGCCCCTACAGTTCTTAGCCAATCTCAGGGATGCACTGACCAGTTTGGTCCAAGTATGGCAACCATGCTTTCCCCCCTCCCAGCCTCTCACACTCACATCCACGCAGACATCACCAATTGATCCCTTTGCTACTGAACCTACAACATTGCAAGCTGCCTTCTGTAGGGTGGAGGCTGGACAGCAGGAGGGCATCAATCTCTCTGCCTCCATCTCCCTACCTGCCTCCATCTCCCTTGGGACCAGGACTCAAATGACAACATGGCAGAGGTGGCTGGCAACCAGCCCCTGGGGAAGGGGAGATCCCAGGCTTTACTGGGAAGTTGCTCCTTCAGGCTCGGCGTGGGGAGAGTGGTGTCCCATCTGGCTCGTTCCCACTGACTCCCTCTGGCCACCACCAGCATGGACCGGCCTGCAGGAACCATCATCCAGGCAGGGCCCACAGAGACGGGGGAAGTGCTGCCCAAGAGGCTGGGGGCAACTTGAGACACAAAACGAAAAGAACCAGTGAGGTGGGGGTTCTACAGTGGGCAGGAAACTGAGACAGCTAGAAGAGCCAATTCCTGGGGGCTCCAACCCTCCCTTTGCCCAGCTCCACACCACTTCCACATATCCTGTGTTCAATTAAAAGAAAAAAACGCTGATTTTTATAAATTGCCTACTATGTGCTGAGTGTCAGGCTAGGCAGTTTGTGACCTGAGCAAACCTAAGGAAAGCAGTTACTGTCCTTCACGACCCTGTAGGGATGCATCCTCCTTCTTCTATTTTTCAGAAGAAACTGAGGCTCAGAATGATGGCAAAACTTAATTGTACAACTTAATCACCCAAAGCCCTGTCAGGTAGTAACAGACATATCTAGTCTTTTTGACGAAAGTCCCTCTCCTCTTTCTGCTAAAAACAGCTGTCCCTACTGAGTACAGTACTATCAGTATTCTCTTTTACATAAGATTAGAAAACAGGCATGGAGAGTTTAAGCAACATGCCCAAGACCACCCAGCTAATAAGCAGAAGAGCCAAGTTCCCAACGAGGTACAGACATGGCTCACTGCAGCCCTGATCTCCCAGACTCAGTCTCCTGAGTGGCTGGGACTACTGGCACATGGCCAGCTAATGTTTTAAAATTTTTGGTAAACACGGGGTTTCACCACGTTGCCCAGGCTGGTCTCGAATTCCTGGGCTCAAGCCATCCTCCTGCCTCAGCCTCCCAAAGTGCTGGGATTACAGGCATGAGCCACTGTGCCTGGCCTGAGGACCTGACTCTGATCCTACTCTTTCTCCCTCAGCTGGTTTCCCATAGATACTTATCCCTCCACACCATCTGTTCTCAACCAGGGCAATCCTGTCTATGTCGGGAGACACTTTGGGTTCTCATGCCTTGAGGATTCATTAGGTGCGACTGCCATCTAGCAGCTGGAGGCCAGGGGTGCTGCTCAACATCTTACAATACACAAGGCAACCCCCACACAAGGAATTATTCAGCTTTAAATGCCAACAGTGCTGAGGGTTAAGAAACCCCACACTAGACCAGCACTATCCAAGAGAAACACAGTCAAGGGGCCAGGCAGGGGCTCACGCCTGCAATCCCAGGACTTTGAAAGGCCGAGGCAAGTGAATTGTTCAGCCCAGGAGTTCAAGTCCAGCCTGGGCAACACGACAAAACCCCATCTCTATGAAAAATCCAAAAAAAAAAAGGTAGCCAGGTGTGGTGGCCTATGCCTGTGGTTCCAGCTACCCAGGAGGCTGAGGTGGGAGGATCGATTGAGCCCCGGAGGTTGAGGCTGCACTGAGCCATGATCATACCACTGCACTCCAGCCTGGGCAACAGAGCGAGAGCCTGCCTCCAAAAAAAAAAAATTACAATTGAGCCACATAATTTTTTTTTTTTTTTTTTTTTGATTCAGAGTCTCACTCTGTCACCAGGCTGGAGTACGGTGGCAAGATCTTGGCTCACTGCAATCTCCGCCTCCTGAATTCAAGTGATTCCCCTGCCTCTGCCTCCAGAGTAGCTGGGATTACAAGCATAGGCTACCATGCCCAGCTAATTTTTTGTATTTTAGTAGAGATGGGGTTTCACCGTGTTGGCCAGAATGGTCTCAATCTCCTGACCTCGTGATCTGCCCGCCTCAGCCTCCCAAAGTGCTGGGATTACAGACATGAGCCACTGCACCCAGTACAATTCAAAAATTTTAGTAGCCACATTGAAAGTTTAAAAGAACAGGTAAAATCAATTCCAACAATATATTTTGTCAAACCTAATCTATCCAAAGTGTTACTATTTTAACATATAATCAATATAAAATTATTGAGACTTTTTTTTTTTACAAAGTCTCAAAATCATGTGTGTGTTTTACACTTCTGGCACGTCTCCATTCGCCCTGGTGACATTTCAAGTGCTCAAGAGCCACATGTAGCACATGGCTACCCTGCTAGACAGTACAGAGACAAGCTCAGAAGCAGAGGGGTCTGAAAATGCCCTGATCTAATGTGAACTGTCTATATATTTTGGGACTTGTCTGTTCCTCCCCAGAGCACAAGGGGCAGGCAAAGAACCCAGTGGAGACAGGGCGGAAGGGACACTGAGAGGCAGTTTACAAACATCTATGGTCACACCTCCCCTCCCACAGGGTGAAATTATTTTCTTATTATTTAAGACACATTATCTGCAAATTTCTTCTGTTAAGAGCCTGAGAGTAAATACTTTCAACTTTGTGGGCCATATGATCTCTGTGACAATGATTCACCTCTGCTGCTGTGGCACGAAAGCAGCCATAGACGATACATAAATGAATGGATGTGGCTGTATTCCAATAAAACTTTATTTACAACAACAGGTGAGTGGGCCGAATTTGGCCCATGGGAAGGGGCTTGTTGACTTCTGATTTAGGCACTACTCCAGAAAGGACTTCATACCTCTCAAAGATGGAAACTGTAAGATGACTGGTTTTGTTGAGCCTGTGTGGCTCAGGCCCCAGAAAATCAACCAAGAACGTGGTTACCATTTCCACATGTGTTGAAGCTGACCTTGAGGATGAAGGCAGTGAAACCACAATGCCCTCTCCCTGCCAGTCAACATAATATGCATGGAGTGGCGGTTGGAGGCACAGGCTCTGAAGTCAGACCTCCTGCTTTCAAATTCCAGCCATGACAAGAATTGGTTGTGTGATCCTGGACCAGTCGCTGAACCCTTCTGTGCATCAATTTCCTCCTTGCAAAATGGGGGATGGTGATGACAGTGGTACCTGCCTGGGAGGGCTATGGTGGGGACAGAACAAATTAAGATAGGGATGACAGGACAGCAGACAGAAGTGGGTCTAGCACCCAGTGGCACTCAAGACATGAGACCTACTATTGCTCACTGAGCATCTGCCAAGCATCAGGCCCCGTGCCAGGTCACCAGGTGTTTTAGGAATGATCTTGCTGACTCCTCAGAACATGATGCTGGTGGGGAATGCTGTTACCCCATTCTACAAAGAAGGAAGTGAGGCCTGCAGAGGACAGGTCACTTAACCGCACTGCAGTGGCAGAGCTGAATACAGTGATGTATTCTTTGCTCTAAACCAACGGTTCTCAACCACAGGCAATTCTGCCACCCTCCAGAGGACACTTGGCAATACCTAGAGACATATTTGGTTGTCATAACTTAAAGCAAAGTAATTCTGCTACTTGGCATCTAGTGGGTGCTCAGCATCCCACAATGCACAGGACCTCCCTCTACAACAAAGAATTAGCCGGGCGCGGTGGCTCACGCCTGTAATCCCAGCACTTTGGGAGGCCGAGGCGGGTGGATCACGAGGTCAAGGGATCGAGACCATCCTGGTGAACATGGTGAAACCCCGTCTCTACTAAAAATACAAAAATTAGCTGGGCATGGTGGCACGTGCCTGTAGTCCCAGCTACTCAGGAGGCTGAGGCAGGAGAATTGCCTGAACCCAGGAGGCGGAGGTTGCAGTGAGCGGAGATTGCGCCATTGCACTCCAGCCTGGGTAACAAGAGCGAAATTCCGTCTCAAAAAAAAAAAACAAAAACAAAAACAAAGAATTATTCCATCTCCAACGTCAGAAGCCCTAAGGTCCAGATGTCTAGTTCTAGATAAACTGAATTCGTTGGGGGTTTCCTCAAAGGCAGACCAGGATCCACGTGCAAGTTCCCAAGGCAGTCAGTGAGGGAGAGGCAAAAGGAGGAAAGGAGGAAAAGGAGAGGGAGTAAAGGGTTAGTTGCCACGCACGTTACCAGTAGGGGTAACGGTGCTTAATCTCCGACGGACCCTCTGGGAGGGTCCAGAGCTTGCCCCACAAAGGGAGAGGGAGCTGGGACACTGAAACACTAACTCCTATCAGCCATGAGCTGAGGGCTGCTCCAGGAAGGCGCTGGTTCCCTGATGCTTCCAATATGCCCCATTCCTGGCCAGAAGGGACTCTGGTGGCCAGAGAAAACCCTCAGGCAAAGAGATACTGAGGCAGGGAGCTGCAGCTGGCAGCTGAACAGCATGCACAAAATGGGAAATGCCGAGGATGTGGGTGCGCACAGCCAGTGTCTGCTCCACTAGCCTACATCAAGCCACAGCAGGAGGACATGGAGAATCTCCCAGTAAATGAAACAGCACTCCGCCTAGCTCCTAGAGGGACTGCATGTTGCCCGTTGGATGAGAAGCTGTAGAGTTTCCTGGGAAGGCAGCTATGGGGATCTGGCCCTCTCTGCTAACTGGCTCTCGACTGGAGCACTTAATGCATGTTGGTCTTCACAGGGGTGGGAAGCCCAAGCTCTTGGGCAACAGAACAGAAGCTGCTCAGAATCCCAGGGGATTTCACCCTCCCACATGGAGCCTTTTCAGCCTTGGGGCCCGCCAGGATTGTGGGCACCTGTTCCACGGAGTGGCTGGGAGGCCCTGATCCAGGGCAGGAACAGACACGGTCATGAACACTTCAGGACACTCTGCAGCGCTTAAGGGATTGCAGTCTGGCCCAGGTGGACATCTGCTCTCAAGAGAGCCTGACTGCCCAGCACGTGGCTACTTCAGCAAAGAGAGGCTCAGAGCCATTATCCATGGGATGGGAACATCAGGGCCGCTGCAGGTTAAATAAAATGAAGTGAACAGAAAGAACCTACCACTCAATACTGATTTGTTTAACAGACACCCACACAAGGCTTCCTAAATGCCAGGCCCTCTTCTGAGTACTTTCCAAACCTTAATTCACTGAATACTCACAACAGCCCCATAACGATGATGATCTTAGTAGTCAGAACTTGCATTTGCTATGCATCTGTGTCATGACAGGCACCGTGCATCCTGCTCGATGTTCACCACCATCTCATGGGCCAGTGCTGAGTGCTCTGCTTCGCCTCTGCTGGCGTAGTTTGACTGTAACTTACTGAGGGTCTGCTGTGTGCAAGGCCTTACTCTTCACTTATTACTGAATATATCTGAATATATCTCTGAATATATCTCATCATCTCACTGAATATATCTCATCATCTCACTGAATCCATATAACAAGATGAAGTAGGCTAGGTGCAGTGGCTCACGTCTGTAATCCCAGCACTTTGGGAGGCTGAGGCGGGCGGATCACAAGGTCGAGAAATCGAGACCATCCTGGCCAACACGGTGAAGCCCTGCTTCTACTAAAAATACAAAAATTAGCTGGGCGTGGTGGCACGAACCTGTAGTCCCAGCTACCCTGGAGGCTGAGGCAGGAGAATCACTTGAACTCGGGAGGTGGAGGCTGCAGTGAGCCGAGATCACGCACACCACTGTACTCCAGCCTGGCGACAGAGTGAGACTCTGTCTCAAAAAAAAAAAAAAAAAAAAAAAAAAAAAACGGGGGGAAGTAGAATATTAACAAAATTTGATTGTTCTCTATGTGCAAAATGCCTTATCTCATTTTAAAAATATTTTAATTTGCATTTATTTTGAGATAGGGCCTCACTTTGTTGCCCAGGCAGGAGTGAAATGGCACAATCAGGCTTACTGCAGCCTCCACCTGGCCAGGCTCAGGTGATCCTCCCACCTCAGCCTCCCAAATAGCTGGGACCATGGATGCATGCCACCATGCCTGGCTAATTTTTGTAGTTTTTGTAGAGACGGGGTTTCACCATGTTGCCCAGGCTGGTCTTTAACTCCTGGGCTCCGGCAATCCACCCACCTCAGCCTCCCAAGGTGCCGGGATTACGGGTGTGAGCCACCATGCCCAGCCACCTTATCTCATTTAATCCACAGAATGACTCTATGAAACTGGTGCTATGAACATGCCCATTTTACAGATGAGGAAACTGAGGCACAGAGGGCTGAGGTGACTTGCCCAAGTTCAGCCAGGATTCCACAGCCTATGCCACTGCCACTACCCCAGACCACCTCTCCCAGTGGCTTCTTTATTAGTCAAGTACAGGGTGGTTACTTGTTCCCATTTCGGGTGAAACTGACGCTGCCAAGAAACCGACTTCCTGTTTCCAGATCCTCCTGTTAATCCCAGAATCCAGACCTGTCATCGTCTAGTTCCAAACACCTGGAGAGGATCAGTTAGCAGGTGACTCCCCGGGGCCTGGGTCAGGGCAGCTCACCGAATTCTGACTGCATGCCAGGGTAGATGATCCTGAACACGTAATCCGTGGCCTCGTCATCGTCTTTGTCTGAAGATGTGGACTCGGCAGAACTCTGAGGGCTTCGCTTGCGCAGTTTAGGAAACACTTTGCCCTATAAGAATGAATCCCAAAGCAAGGTCCTTGGGACACATCTGTCCCCACAGCCTGTGCCATCTGGGCTATCAGTGGGGAGTACATGAGGCCACAAAGCCATATTAAGGGCACACAGGCAAAAACAACCACTCTCTGTGACCAGTCTCCACCCCAGCCTCCCTGGGTCCCCACGATCACTCACCTTCCCCCGCTGAGACCACAGTGGCGGGTCCAATTGCCCATGAGGAAGCAGCCCATTCTCCAGGCACGAGAGGAACTGCAGGAGGTGCCCACCCTTGGGGAAGCGGAAGGGCGGCCTCTGGATCCCGTCCTGGCTGACCAATACCACCGTCCCGCCGCTGTCCACTGCCACCACCACCAGCCAGAGAAGACCCAGTGGGAAGTCACTATGAGGCATGGTGACAGCCCCTCCCTGCAAACACATCCCCCAGCGGTGCCACGCCAGACCCAGGGATCCTGCTCTGAGCTCTGGGAAAGGCCTGGGCAAAGGTCAGGAGCAGTGTTTACCTCCCCTGAGTGTCCCCCATCTCACTCACCATCCGTATCTGACTGGAGACTACAGGACAAAGTTAAGAAGAGCAGAGTTGACCTCCCTGACATTAACCACCAAAAGAAAAAGATGCCCCTTAGCATCCTCCGCTCCTCAGGAATCCTCTACAAATCTATCTGACCTATTTTTGTACAGAGGCCTTTAGACTTCCCCTGTCCCAGGGCTGTAGCTGACTCTGGCTAGCACGTAGTGAGCACTTACTGAATACAAGCACAGCATGTTAGAGGTGCTGTCTTATTGAAACACAATATCCCTATGAGTCCTATCTGTTATTGCCTATTTTACAAATGATGAAACCAAAGCTCAGAGAGATTAAGTAACTTCCCCAACGTCACATAGCTCATCTGGCAGAGTCTGGGTCTGAATCCAGGTTCTTTCTAAAGCAGGATGGCCCTCTGCTTACTCGGACCATACTTCCTTCTGTCTTTAAAGGAGTGCTGCAGTTACTGACCCCAGGTCTTCAGAGCACTGACTTTAGAGTCACAAAGAGCTGGATCCAGTCCCAGCTCTGGAGCTTCCAGGCTGTGTACCCTCATACTAAGCTGCTTCTTCTCCTCCAAAATGGAACGGATGTCACCCCTGTCAAGGGGTGGTTATGATGACTGAATAACAGGCGTGTGAGCGCTCAGAACTGTGCTTGGCACATTGTCAATGCTTAGTAAGTGTCAGCGGTTAACGCCATAGCCATAGATGGGTGTCATGCTGAGCCCTTAACGTACATCATTTCATCTTCACAACTACCCCATGGGAGGGTGTTGTTATAATCCCGTTACAGATGGGGAAACTGAGGCACGGAGCGGTGAGGTCACTTGCCTAAAGTTGCACAGGTAATATGCGGTGCCCACCGTATCACTGTCTCATGATGCTAATGAATAGGCAGGGGTGGAGACAGGCAGGGGATCCAAGAGGAACACACAGCCCCCTTCCTGTCCCCACGGTCCCTACCTTGCTGGTGGCAGTGCAGGTAGACAATCTCCTCCAGGCGGATGGTCATGGCATAGTCCCAGTAGACGCTGGAAGGGGAGGGAGGGTCAGGCTTGCAGGACTTCTGCCTACCCCGTTGTGGGGAGGGGCTCAGAGGCCAGCAGACCACACCCAGGAGCTCCTCCACCCTTCCCACCAGCTCCCCAGCATCTGGGTCCCAGCTGCTCAGACGCTATCTCCTCTTCTTCTGGTCTCAGGAACCCAATTTCCCGAGGTTACCACCCTCCCCACCCCCCATCCATATGGGAGGTGAGGTGGACTTCACCCACTCTCCACCCTGGGACTCCAGGAGTGGCCACCTGACCCAGGCCTGGCCAATCAGCCTGTCGCATTGCTCCAACCACAGTGTTCAGTGCAGGACTGACTCCTGACTGGCAAAACCAATGAGACTGGATTATTAGATTTACATTTGAATGAGTGGGAGAGAGATGCCCCGTTCTGCCTGGAGAGGAGCAGTAAGGGCAGAAGTCTGAAGACGGAAGCAACCATGCCTGAGAAAGGCGCCAACAGACAGGAAGACGGAGCAGAGAGATGCAGAGTGCAGGTCCCCATCATTCAAGTCCCTGGATCCATCCATGCCTGAGGCTACTGCCCCTGGAGTGTCAGCTCACGTGGGCCAGTGCTTAAGTCAGCTTGAGTTTGGTTTTCACTAACTGGCATCTAAGAGTCTTGACTAACTCACATCCTAGCTCTAGGCCACCATGTGTCCATGGGTAGGAGCTAGAATAGCCACTCAATAGCTTCACAGGTCCCCAGCAGTGTGACTTGAGGGTTTCTCTTAGCCTCAGTTTCCTCATCTATAAAATGGGGGCTAGAGTGACACCCCCCATAGTGTTGCTGTGAGGATTAAATAGAATCACTTATTTGAAGGGCTCAGTACAGAGCTGATTAAGAAGTACATACCTGGGAAGTGGTCCCTGTGATTACTTAAGTGTTTCCATTTCCAGCTCAAAACCTGCAGCTGTCCTGAAACAAATAGCTTTTCCCATCAGAACACACGGGAGGTGGAGACCACAGAAACTTTGCGGTGGCCACGGAAATGCGCCACTCAGATCTCCTTCGGAAGACCTTGCTGAGGGGAGCAGTGCTGATCAACTTCAGAGGCCACGTTTGCACCGAAGCCATGCTCCCCTGGGCTGCTCCCAGCCAGGACCTAGCATGCCAGCGTACTAGTGCCACCCGTTCCTGCGAGACAACGGACTCCTCTCACAGTCAACAGTCCAGGAGACTTCCATTTGACCCGGCCATTCTTAGAGCTGTGCTGTCTCAGACTCCTTCTGCCCAACCTTCCTTCCTTCCTTCCTCTCCCTCCCTGCATGGCAGCCTGAAGGCTCTTCCATCCACTCCTGCCCCTCCCTTAACCTGCACAGGTGTGTCCCCAGTAAACCTCTGCTGGTCCAACACTGCCTTGGTGTCTGCTTCTTGGAGGACCCAAACTAACAGACTTCAAGGTCAGACAGCGTTCAAATCCCACTTCCACCTGAGACATGAGCCAGTTCTTACCCCTTTCTGGCCCTCAGTTTTCCAGCTGTGAAGTGAGAAAAGTGGAAGAGACTCGGAGAAACCCTCAACTCACACTGCTGGGGACCTTTTCTCTTTGAAAGCCTTGCCCGCCCTGGCCTGTACCAGAATCAGCCTCACCAGAGTTCATGGAAGTAAATGCCCTTTGAGGACAGTCAAGGACGCAAGAGCAGCAGCCTCTGTTGAGCCCCTCGCATAGCCAGTCTCACCAAGGTATCCCTCCCTGGGCTCCCACAGCCCTGCGTGCCCAGCACACCGTGTTGCAAACACCTGTCTTCTCCTGATTCCCCAAAGGGTGCTGAACACCTGCAGCAGAGGGGCTCTGTTTCGTTCACTTCTCTGTGATGCTCAGAGAATGTTCACAGTGTATAATGAATGCTGAGCACTGGAAATGCCCAGCGAATGAAGCCACCACCAGCCATCAGCAAGGAGCTCTGTAGCCACAGTCTCTTCAGACCCACGAAAGTGACACGAACAGCCCCCATGACTCACAGCCCTGTCCAGGTGCCAGGCTCCCAGCTAAGGGTTTTCTATGTGCTTCTGTTACATAAATTCTCCCTACGTGCTTATTCAGAGGCTCCCCTACTACATTCCCATCTTACAGATAAATAATCTGAGACTCAAGGAAGTGGAGTTGATCATCCCAGGCCACACAGCTAGGAAGGAGCAAGGGCTGAGTTTCTAGGTTTTTTTTTTTTTTTTTTTTTTTTACATGTTTTAGCAGCTTTACTGAGGTATAATTTACACACCATAGAATTTACTCACTATAAGTGTACAGTCTGATGAGTAAATGTGCAGATCTGGACAACCATCATCACAAGGCAGTTTTAGAACATTTCTACCACCCCCAAAAGATTCCTCTTGCCTGTTAGGAGTCAATCTTCCATCCCCACCTACAGCCCTAGGCAACTGACAATCTGCTTGCTGACTCTACAGATGTGCCTTTTTCTGGACCTGTCATCTAGATGGAATCCTACAACAGGTGGCCTTTGCGGCTGGCTTCTTTCACGTGGTATAATGCTTTTGAGGTTCATCCATGTTGTAATGTCCACCAGTGATTCAAACCCTTTTGTGGACAAATAATATTCTGCTGCATGGATGGACCACAAATGTCTGTATCCATTCTCCAGTGGACGGACATTTGGGTTGCTTCCAGCCTTAGGCTGTCACGAATAATGCTGTTATGAGCATTTGTGTGTAAGTTTTTGTGTGGGCGTAAATTTTCATTTCTCTTGGGTAGATTCCTGGGAGTGGAATTGCTAGGCCACATGATAAGGGGATGTTACAAGAAACTGCCAAACTGGTCCATAAAGTGGTTGTCCCACGAGCACAGTAGGAGGGTCCCACTGCTCTCCACACAGTAGTGTTGAGATTGGAGGCAAGTCCAGCCTGGCTCCAGAACCCCAATATCCAGCTCTTTAGCTGGCAAGTGAGGATTGCGGCTGTGCAGGAGAGAGGTTGGCTATGAAAAGTAAAAACAGCTCCTGTACAAGGTCAGACAAAAACCTCCCCAACTCCATTGCTTCTTGGTCCCCCAAGGGATGCTGGAGCTCCTGGGCAAGCCCCTTCCCCACATACCAACTCCCACATTTCTGATCCCTACCTTTTATCTTCCATTGAGCCTCAAGTTCTAGTGAGAATAACAAGGAGGGACAGGGGTTCATAGCCCAGGGCTAGGGACACCCCAGCTCCTGTGTAGTGACCTTGGAAGTTCTGATTCAGCCAGAACTCAGTATCAAAGCACCTATGAGGTGCCTGTTCACAAACAGAAGATGATGCAGAAACATGGGGTCCCGATGATCTGAGCTGGGGCAGGGCTTGGCAATCACTGGATCCAATGCTTTTCCCAAAACACTAGCATCAGGTTTCTGGCCCACACAACCCTGGCTCAAGTCCAGGCCACAAACAGGCTCCTCAAGCTGTTAAACCTTTGACATTGGGTCCAAGACACTTCAATGTTTGAGAAGCCCCTGCAGACCCCTTGGGAATGCCTTGAATCCTAAGGAGACCATCTCGCCCTACTTCCCCATTTAATAGAAAGGGAACCCTGAGACTCACTGAGGTGGAGTGACACACCCCAGGTCGTCCAGCAAGGTGAGGGCGGAGCAAAGGCTGGGTCCCATAGCATAGATTCACCCCTCTCCCTGCCCATTCATTGTCTTCCAGTAGAATGGAAGCTCGGAAAAGGTAAAGATTTCCCCCTCCTTTTCTACAACTGCTGTCTCCCTTGCATTTGGCACAGTGGCTGGCATGGAGTAGGTGCTTAGCAAACATCCAGTGAATGGATCCAGGTCGTCTGACTTCCCTGCTTCGTTTCACAAAGCTGACCTGAGCACCTACTATGTGCTACAAGCTGTGGCAGGGGCTGGGGATACGATGCAAACAAGACGGGACCCTTGCCTTTAAGGCACTGAGCTCTCGAGGGTAAGAGGTAGTATACAGGCACAGATTCACTGTGTGACTGCAGTTTTCTAAATGCTACCAAGGAGATTTGGGGCTGTGTGATCTGGACTCGGCAGGGAGGTCAAAGAAGCCTTTAAACCAAGGTTTAGGATAAAGAGGGTGAGACAAGGTTCCAGACCCAGAGCACCCCTGGAACCCCTCCCTTATTCTTTTATTTTGGAGAGGGGGTGTCACTCTGTCACCCAGACTGGAGTGCAGTGGTATGATCTTGGCTCACTGCAACCTCCGCCTCCCGGATTCAGGTGATTCTACTGCCTCAGCTCCCAAGTAGCTAGGACTACAGGCACATGCCACCACACCCAGCTAATGTTTTGTTTTTAGTAGAGACCGGGTTTCACCCTGGTAGCCAGGATGGTCTCGATCTCCTGACCTCGTGATTTGTCCTCCTCAGCCTCCGAAAGTGCTGGGATTACAGGTATGAGCCACCACTCCTGGCCCCCCTCCCCTATTCTTCCATGACAGTCTCCTGGTTAGAAACTCTAGAGTCTGGGAAGCCGAGATTAGAGGCTTGCTTGAAGCCAGAAGTTCAAGACCACCCTGGGCAACAAAACGAGACACCATCTCTATATAAAATAAAATAGAAATAAAAATAATAATAACTTTGTAAGGCCGAGATGGACAGATCACTTGAGGTCAGGAGTTTGAGACCAGCTTGGCCAACATGATGAAACCCCATCTGTACTGAAAATACAAAAATTAGCTGAGTGTGGTGGCAAGTTCCTGTAATCTCAGCTACTCGGGAGGCTGAGGTGAGAGAATCACTTGAACCCAGGGAGTGGAGGTTGCAGTGAGCCAAGACTGAGCCACTGCACTCCAGGCTAGGTGAGAGAGTGAAACTCTGTTTCAAAA